CATTTTAATATTATAGTCCTACTGCGTATTCATTATGCTTGAAATTGACTCTGTTGTCAATCGCTGTCAATATCCTGAAACTTAAAATGTACTTGTGGTTCACAATTAAGACAAATGTCATCGAGTATTTCTTCTATGTATTCATTTTTTATATCTATTTAATTGAAGTCTATTGCTGCTAACTCATTTCCATTTTGACTGGCTACATAAACTCTAGTGTTTCTCTTTCTTATATGAAGCTTTATATCAAGCTTGTGTTCTGTATATTCCTTCTTGTTCTGATTATCTGTAATTAAATGGGAAAGACGAGTCCTTGGCCATGTCCCAAGAAATGGCAGGAAAATAATACGTTGAAGTAAATATGAGTGTTTATTTATTTTTTAATCTAACTCTAGGCATATTGTCACTGCATAAAAATATTCTTTTTCTGTGTTTTGACCTGAAATTCATTGTATGAGTTCTCTGTATATACTTCTGGGCATCCAGCCTAATGAGATGGAAGGATTTCTTAGAGCGTCCCTGAAGCATCCTAATGTGAACTTTTGATTCTTCAAGTATTTTCAAAAGAAAAAGAATGGAAATTGACTATTAAATATTCTGTGTTGACAATGTAAATGAAATGATGGATGAGGCCATGAAACATAATAGTATGATATCCTGAAAAAAGAACACTCCCAATAAATTCAGTATTGACTGTGAAGCTACATTATCAGATCATTCAAATAATTTCCACATTTTATGGTATTTTAGAGCCACTGCACCTAACTAAATTAACCTTTGATAATATTTGCAGTTGTAGAATGACAGTTTGTTGGGTGAAGGGAGGCCATGAAGGAAAGCTCCAGTGGAAATCTGAGAAGACTGTGTAGTAGTGGACATATATCAATAGAGATTAATTTTTATAAAATTCAATATAAAAAGTTCATCATATGGAATGAAATATAATATAAATGAAAGAGTATAAAACATAATAAAATATGAACCATGTGGAAAAACTTTAGTATTTCAGAACTTTTCAAAGTTAAAACAGTATCAATGATGAACAGTCTGCGAGTGTAAGTTGTTGTAGTTGTTGATTGCCTTCAAGTTGAGCATGACTCACAGCGACCCTATGAACAAAAGACCTGAAGCTTTTCTATAACTATCAATGTTTATCAAAGTTCATAGAGTTTCCAAAGGCATGTTGTTTAGAAAGTACATGCCACTCCTATATGACCCTCTTAAATAAACAACACTAAACTATTTTTTCCTTGGAATTTTGTTTTCCAAACTTGAAATTTGGGGGGACCTAAATACAATAATTTCTAATTAGAGGATGGTTCATAGATAATATTTATTATAAGTTATGCACAATAGTCTTATAATATGACTAAAGAAGAGTTTTTACACTTTTCTAATGAGCTGAATCTGTAGACATCTAAATGAGCACACATCCTAAGGGAATTGGGATGTTGTTGTTGTTGTTGTTGTTGTTATGTGCCGTCAAGTTGTTTGCGACTCATAGCTCAAAGAAATACCACAGACTCTCTCTTCTCTCTTAGTCTCAATATTGCTATTAGTCTTGATATATTAACTATAATGCACAATCTACATTATAATTTTAAATTAATATAACTAGTTAGAAGAAGGAACATGAGCACAAGTGTTACAGACATGAACTAACTTTAAAGTTAGAAGAGACTTGAGCTTATCACACTTAAGGAGTGATATTTGGAAATGATAATTCTTCTGAGCACTGAAAAAAAAATCTTACATAAGACCACAATGTTCAAAATGGAAGTCATTTAATAAATTCACTACTTTTCTTTGATGAAACTCATGATATTAGATACTTCAATTTATGAATATATACATTCACCAGTAGATACTCTGGGAAGATGAAAATGAAGAAAAAAATATCATAGTACTTACATAGTCAATTATTAGTAGCTGAAATACCACGTTACCTACACAGTCAATTTTAAGTGCTCTATTTTTTTCTTTGATAAGTCACCTGATCCAGTCCATGGTCTTTCAATTTCTTGCTAAGGTTGACAGAAGAAGAATTGATGCCTTTGAGTTGTGGTGCTGGAGAAGAGTCATGAGCATATCCTGAACCCAGGTTTCTCCTTGGAGTATAGGATTTTGAAGTTTTGTCTTATATACTTGGGCACTTGGCCAGGAGAGACCAATCCTTGGAGAATATCTTGCTTGGAAGGGTGGTGGGACAGTGAAGGAGAGAAAGACCTCGGATGAGGTGGATTGATATTGTGACCAGGACAGTCAGGGGGGGTAGGTGTGTTGGAGTCAGTGGGGCTGGCTCAGTACAGGGCAGGCTTCAGAGCTGCTGAACATGGATGAGGTTGCTATGGAGTTGCAGGAGACCCAATGGTACATACTAAGAACAACAACAACAACAGCAACAACGAGATGTCATCTTTTAAAGGAAATAATTTAGTAAATTTGCCTACAATGCTCTTTTTTTAAATAATTTTAATGAGCATTTACAAAGATTTTGGATTTCCATTCATTCATTGCTGCACTTCTCTCCCCGCCAATCCCTCCCCCCCACCCTGCCCCCAGTTCACTCCTCTCTTTCAAAAGTAAAAGAAATACTCCTGCCCTGGTACACAATCCCCCCGCACCCCTCCCACCGCCCCAAGTATACATTCCTCTGTGCAACCTTACAATGCTCTTTTAATCCAAAGGAAAGTTTTCTTGAATATATGTTCTAAGACAAAAATATTATATTGTGTAGATCTAATTTATTGGAAATAACATTCTTAACTGCCTATTTGTTGGTTTCAATTCACTGTCAGCTCTGGAAAAAGGCAGGCAGCCTCCTTCTGTTGATTTACAACCTTGAAAACCCAATGGAGGGTCAGCAGTGTGATAGGCTAATGAACCATTTAAAAATATACATTTTTAATTTTTTTTTACTGGTTGTTTTTTAATATTTATTTTTGTGATGTAAATGTGAAAACTAATACATAGTTATGGATTTCTATACAATAGTTTTTAGTAATTGAATTAATATTAACTATGTAAGATCTTTATTTAAAATTATCTTTTGGCTTTGATAGGTAGAGGGACAAGGCAGGAAATAAAACCAATATACATGAATGAAACCCAATGTAAACAAATTATTGTATGTAAACTAATAAAAGTTTTTAGAAAAACCTTATATTTTGCTTTAAAAATGAGTGTCATCTTGGTAAAGAAAATGTATAGTAGCTGGCTAAGCCTAATACATTTCTTTTAAAATAGAGGTGACTTAGTAAGATATAATATCCTTCTAGGCTAGTCTTTCACATGAACATTCACAGGAGAATTTATAGTAAATTGGAGTAGATTTTAATGTCCCATTAGTCTTCCTACAAATTTTCCATTTTGCCAAAGGATTCTCACATAGGCAGAAGAATTTCTATGGTGAATTCAGCTGAGGTTCCCTACAAGAAAAGAATTCATGAGTTCATAAATCTTTCAGTCCCTTCAATTTATCTAGAGAATTATTGGTAGTGTGTTGGGTACCAATACATGGAGCAGATCGTCTTGAAAAATAATGCCAACTCCATAATGGTGAGGTTGCTATTTCCCAGTGGGTGTGAACAGTTTAGGCTAGATAGATAACACCCTATTGCAGTTTGCTGCTGGCGGGGAAGATCACTTTCTTTTTGGTTATCATACTGCTTTGAATTTATTACAGAGCCTGGAACTTTAATTATGTCAAAAAGAGCACATGTAATCACTACAAAAAGTTTTGATATAAATGGACAAAGGAAAGAAATTTCAGAGTTAATTGTGCCATTCTCTGCTTAAATCTCTCTAACATGTGAAGTTATTATACTCTAAGATTATAATACAATATTTTATCCCATTGATGCTGTATCGTTAGGCACACAGAAAATGAGAATAGATAATCTTCATTGACTAATTATAGCTATTTGCTTTAGATTTGCTTATTCATTATTTGTATTACATTGTCACCGGCTAAACAAAATAACAACTATTTTTTTTATTCATTGTACTACCTAGCATGTTACCATTTCATTTTCATTCATGCATGCCGCAATATCATGCATAAGTTGCTATTCTTGTGTCTATGATGTCACTTCTGAGTCATTATGGTTGTTATGCGTGATGGAGCTGACTGTGACTTATGAACAACATATCCAAACCTTGCTCTCTCCTGAACCAATCTTACTATTGGTGACACAGCAGACCCCGACTATCATAATGGTCACTGATTCAGTACATCTCCTCTAGGCCTTCCTCTGCTGTGCTTACACTCATCCCTTACTTGTCTTACATCCTTTCCCAAGGAGTAGTTTCTCTTGGCAACATATCCAAAGTATGTTTTGGGCTCAATGGTAAGAATTGTGCTGCTGGCAGAATTCACCAGCTACTCTGAAGGAAAAAAAACAAGAAATCCCCTCCTGTGTGACTTACTGCCTATGAAAATCCACTGGAAGATCAGCTGTGGGTTTGTTCTGACTCAACAGTAAATGACAATTATATATTTCACTTAACCTCTCACAGTTCTGTGAATTCTGAACATTTTCATGTCTGTCATATTTAAATACTGATTTATTTGTATGAAAATGTACTTAATTCCAGTCTTGCTCATTAGACTTTTTGAGATGAAAGATGGTTACCACTATACAGTTTTACGTGGTGTGATTTTTATTATGTGTGAATAATTATATTATTATGTATGAGTAATTCTCTTTTGTAGTTTTGAAAGCAAAGTGGAGTAAATTAATATAATAATGGCATAAAACAAAAAAGTGGAATAGCTTTGATATTGTTGCATGATTAGCTGTAAAACTTTGAATATTTGCTCCATATCTGCTGCTGACTCTTAACTTTTTTATTTTGCTCAGTTTTGTTTTGTCCTCGACTAAGGACTTGATTAAAAGTATTAAGTAGGATGATAAATTCTACCTACTATTCATATGAGGGCAACTAATTCTGAAGTTGCATGTTATTTTAAGAGGAAACTGAACTCCCAGAACTACAAGATGGCCTCTATGGTACCACTGAAGGAGAGGAAGCTTGTGGATATAAAACCGGAGGAGCTGCCCAGCTGGAAACTGATGCTGGAGTTCACCCTGAGCGGCATCAGAGGAGCATTCCAGGGAGACTACTACTTGTACAAAAAGGAGTATGTCAGTGTGAAGAAGGGGGTAATCTCCGGGCTGTCCATGGTCCTGACAGTTTACGTGGTGGTCAGCTACTGCCTTTCTGACAAGGAGCTCAAACATGAACAGTTACAGAAGTACCACTAAGAGGCGCCGTCATCATTCCTGGCCGGGATCCTTTGCCCTGGCACCCTTCCCTTCTTGAAGAGCAAAACTTTGTCACCTAGAATGAGAACTCTGTCCAATAAAGGATGACACAGTCAAGAGAGAGAGAGAGTAAAAGACCTTTGTCTTTGATTTAGGTAGGACAGGAGAAAGTCACTTTATGTTATTTTTGAGTACATAGTATATGAAAATGCTTTTAGCAGATATAAACACTTAGATAGTTTCAGTGACTAACAGTTAACTGCTTTCTTTACTCCTGCCTTGGGTTTCCCATAGTGTAGCTTATATTGAACAATCTCTTAAAAATAGGCAAATTAGTTCAATTAGTGATATATGTTTGGTGAACTCATCAAATTATCAGGTCTTACTATATCATAGTAACAAAATGTATCATGAGAGTAATTATTTTCTTTTATTACTAATTAGTTTTTATAGAATAAGACATTATTACATTGCTATAGTGTTCTGTATTGAATCAAAATGACATTGAGTGTGAAAAGAAAAAGGAGTTTTTTAATTTCAGTTTGTCATATATCATCCATTTATTGTTTAACATAAATACTTTATAATTTATAGTGATAAGCATTTTATTATTGTATGCATAGTTTGTATTACAGAAGTAATAAAGTAATAATAAGTAAAGCAACAGTGTCACTTTAGAGACTAAAGTGCACGGGATCCAGGTCAGTGTCTTCAACAATTGCTTGCTGTGCATCTGAGAGCTGGACAATGAATAAGGATGGCAGAAGAAGAATAATGCTTTTGAGTTGTAGTGCTGGACAAGAGTATTGAACAAAGCATGGACTGCTAAGAGAACAAATAATTCTCTCCAAGAGAGGGTTAAATCTGGTTGCTCATTGGCATAAAAAATGTTTAAGCTTTGTATTTTGGGGATGTTGACTGGAAGGTTCAATCCTCAGAGAGGGACATCAACTTGGAAGGGTAGAGAGTCAGCACGGAAGAGGATAGTGTAGATGAGATGGACTGACACAGCAAGTTTGGCAATGGGGTCAGGAGTGTCTGAGACAGTAAGATTTCCTCAGGATAGGGAAATGTTCATGAAACTTGTTCATAGATGGAGTCACTATGAGTTGTCATCAACTCAATGGCACATAAAAATAACAAGTCTTTTGGAAATGACTTTCTCTATCATCAAGTTACTTGAAATGAATATGGAAATAAGAGTTGAAAGGCCAACTTTTACCAGAAGGAACCTGGCAAAGTTTGTAGAAATGCCAGTGCTTGAATTTATTTTTATATAAATAAGAATGCATTAGGAAATGTAGAAAAGAAGAGAATTCTAAGCTGAGGATTCAAGTTAAGGAAACAAAGAACCAGATTATTATACTATTACTAGAATGTGGGAGAGCCATACCAGGAGGTGAATCTTTTGAACCAGAGGTTCTAAAGATATGGACAAATGAAAGTGACATTTATTTCCCCAATTATAAACAAGCAATAGGCAGATATAGAAAATGATTTTTAGTTTTGTAAATGAGTTATTTGAGGTAGATAGATTCAATGACTGGGGTAATCGGGATGGGTGTGTCAGAAGCAATGCGATTGGCACAGGATAGAGCAGGGTTTAGAGCTGTTGTACATAGGGTCACTATGAGTCGCAAGTGAATTAGTGGCACATAAAAACAACAACAAATAAGTTAAAATATTTTCTATAATAGGATAAATGGAAGCCATCTCATTAGAATATTGTCAACTACACGAAGGGAAGAACCTTGTAACATACTGTAAAGAATATATGTGTGTGTGTGTGTGATTTATATAGGAAAGTTGGTATTTCATTCATTCATTATTTCACATTTTCCTCGCTATGCCCCAGATCAATTTTTATTTTCAAAAAAAATACACTGTCTCCACTACCTAGTGCTTAGTATTGAGTCATTTTCAACTCCTAGTGGTGACTCCATGACAGATTAGAATTACTACAAAAAGTTTCATAACCAGCAATTCTCACAGGGACATATTTCCAGTTCCTTGTCACTTGGATACACCAGACGAATGATTGGCAGATACACTGCAAATCTTTTAGTTAGTAGCTAAATACTTATCTATAGCTCTACAAAATGCTCCTTGAACTTCAGTAATATGGTAATACATATTTTGGTTTTTATTTCAAAATGTTATTTAATTATAATGATTTATTAGTATACATTTAAATGGGTTGTGAATATTATAAACCTTATTGAACATGTCTTTTTATTTGGTTTTATATTAATGCAATATTTACTTAGAACATTTGTTAAAATTAATTGTTAATATTGTACTTTATTACCTTTTTTTATAGAAAAACAAAGACCAAACCCATTGCCAGATAGTCAATTCCAACTCATCATGATCCTCCATTTGGTTTTTGAAATGATGAATTTTAATGAGGAATAATTGACCATTGTTCTCACTGGAATAACAAGTAGATTCAAATCATGTGTCTTTGCTTTGGGTATTACACACACCATTATCCTTAAAGAGAGAAATATATGCAGATTTGAAATGTTTCTATAATCTGAAAATATTTCTCCAGTATTTAAAAGTATTGTTTAGTTTTTTACATAAACAACCAAAACATTCTTACATTGTTTTTATTCTTTCACATTAGTTTGAAGTTATATGTAGAAAAATTTATACATATTTGTATTTTTTAAAAAACCTATGCAACTAAAATCTAAATTAGTGGCACATTGAATTGAAATGGGAATACCTACCTTCAGGAGTTGTTGGTGATAACATGAAGAATCCATTGGTTGAGAAGTTGAATGTTGCTGTTGTTATGTACCATTAGATCGACTATAGCTGAACAACAGCTCTGAACTTGGCCCTGCCTTGTTCAAGAACACCGTTTCTGACTCTCCTGACCTTATTGCCATAGTCACTGTGTCAGTCCATCTAATTCAAGGTCTTCTCTTCTGCTGACACTACCCTTACAAGTATGATGTCCTTCTCAAAAGACTGGTTCCTCCTGGCAACAGACCCAAAGTATGTGTAACACAAGTTCAAAATCCTTGCTTCAAAGGAGCAGACTGGTTTCATCACCTAGAAAAGAGAACTGTTTGTTTTCATGGCAGTCCATAGTAGGGGCAATGCTCTTCTTCAGTACCAACTCAAAGGTTTCAAGTCTAATTCTGTCATCCTTAGCCAATGTCCAGCTTGCAAATTCATATTAATCTAGTGAGAAGACCTTGGCTAGGATCACATCTTAGAGTTGGCACTGACATTGTTAACTCTTTAGCACTCTAAAGAAGTCCTTTTGATTTCTTGACTGCTGGTGTAAAATAATATTGATTGTGGATCAGAGCAAGTTGTTAACTATCATGTTGACTATTGCAATGCCCAGTGGTGAAGAGTTTCATTTTCTTGCTTTTGAGTTGCAACCCATATTGAAGGCTACAGTGCTTGATCTACTGCAGCACACACTTCAAGTTCTCCTCCGGTTTGGCCAGCAAAGTTGTATATTCTGCATAACACAAGTTGTTGATAAGTCATTTTCTTCCAATCTTGATGCTGTATATTCTTGTTCATAAAATACAAACTTTTTAATGATTTATAGAGCATATAGATTGGAAAAAATATGGAGAGAGAATACATCCCTCATACATGCCTTTCTTGGTTTTTATACCATACAGTGTACCCTTGCTGTGCTTGGACAATAGCTTCTTGATCCACATAAAGGATGTGCGTGAGCACAAGTGTCCTGAGATTCCAATTCTCCTCAGTGTTAGCCATAATTTGTTGTGATCCACAAAGTCACATGCCATTTACATAGTCAACAGATATATATCCTTCTGAGAAGTTAAACAGAGTTAGGAAAACCTCTTTTCCTGATGGTCTTAAAAAGTGCAAATAGAAATGTAATTAAAATCCTTCTAGTGCTATTAGTTTCTTTAATAAATTTTATATGATGGGCTAACTGATTTGTTATAAATTAATTTTAATTACTTCTCAATCAAGGAGAAAAGTCCATTGGCCAAGGTCATCCAACATGGAAATTTTAAACACATGTTTACAAATTCACAGTTGGTAGCTGAGGTAGTATGACAGAAAAACCTCACAAGCAATCAATGTTTTACTGTTATCTTGTTACAGTTGAAATATGTATAGAGTTTATAAAAATTCAGACTCATATACTACACACAAAGTAAACAGGAAAATATTGACAGAATCTAACATACTTAACAAAATACACAATTTCTTAAATCATAAATAGCCACCTTTAAGTTGTTTTAGTGACACAATATTCTGAAGAGGTATAAATGTAACAATTATTAACAAAGAAGCTAAAACAATTGTAGCAACCCAGACGTGTGAGTTTTCCTTCATTATTTAATAAATATTTTCAACACTAATAAATAAGAATCCTATCTTATACAGAAAATATCCATCAACATTGTCTGTTAAACAAAATAAAAGAATTCTGATTAAAATAATTAATAAGAATAAGACAGAATTAATTTGAGATCAAGGATTAAAGTATGGTGCACTAGAAAATCAGATTAAGAAGCTATACTTAGATAAACCTCAAAGGATAAGTCTAGCTTTCTATATAAATCACCTATTAACCTAAAACAAAAGAACTTAATTTCCAATTCAAATTTAAATTAAAGAGCCTGATCTCATATATACTAATAGCACATTACTATTTACACAGACTTCATGCCAGATAGCAATGAATAGATTTATTTTTTAGATTATTTGAAGTAGTAGAAATCTTTATATAATAAAATATGAACTCTGGTGGTACAGTGATTAAGCCTTCGGTTGCTAATTGAAATGTTGGAATCCAGCAGTCATCAGAAGGAAGGTGCCTGACTTGTAAAGAGGACTGTCTGATTTGTAAAGATTGACAGTCTAGACACTGTAGGGCAGTTGAACTCTTTTCTGCAGATTCACTATTAGTTGGAATTTATTTGATGGCAATGGATTAGGCTTTTTTTGTATAAAAGAGATACTTTAGCTTCATAATGTATTACTTA